AAAAAAAAAAAAACAATTTCAGAGAAATATAGGATGTTATTAGGGTACTGAGAAATGGCGCCTAGCTGCCTGGTGACGGTCATAAATTTTCGTGCTTATTTTAGGCAGTGGCAGGTCATTAAAAGTCAAGTCGTCTGGTCACGAATCAAACATTTACAGTCTGCTTTGAGGCAAACAGGACTCTTCATTCCCAGGAGTGAAATGCCTGCATTACATAGACTGCAAGATTGGAGTGATAAATCATACTTTCTTATTTCTTTTTCTTTTTTTTCTTTTCTTTTCTTTTTCTTTTTTTCTTTTCTTTTCTTTTCTTTTTTTTTTCCCAAAAGATTGTGTATTCCCATTTTATTTTATTTATTAATTTTTTTTTTTTAATTTTTTTTTTTAACGTTTATTTATTTTTGAGACAGAGAGACAGAGCATGAATGGGGGAGGGGCCGAGAGAGAGGGAGACACAGAATCGGAAGCAGGCTCCAGGCTCTGAGCCATCAGCCCAGAGCCCGATGTGGGGCTCGAACTCACAGACCGCGAGATCGTGACCTGAGCTGAAGTCGGACGCTCAACCGACTGAGCCACCCAGGCGCCCCTGTATTCCCATTTTAAAAGCCAGGCACTGGATTCAGAATGTGTAAAGCAATGCCTTGGGGACTTGGTATGATTCCTTGAATGAACTGGGGCTTTGTGAATTATCCTTTTCTCCGTAAACCGTAAAGTAGGGGGAAAAATTCCTTTGAACAAAATATCATTCTTATCCGCCTGAGTTCTCGTCCAGGGGGAGAACGCAGGTGTCCTCAGGACAGAGGACAAATGAGGGGAAGACACAGGGAAGGTTTGGAGTGTAAGCTTGAGGTCGAAGAAGACCCAACTGGCAAAGCCAACAAGCCGTGGATCAGAGCGGCTACCCCATTGCTTCAGCAATGTTGTTTCTCCTCAGTAACAGGGAAAGCTCTTCTGCCAACAGCTAACCATCCAGATCTTTCTACCAACCTCCAGATTCACATCCCTACTGGCCCACCCTAGGCACACAACAGCACCACCCTCGCTCCCACAAGCCTGCTCCTTGGGGTGAATAATGTCATCGTCTGTCTGCCCGGGCTCCAAGCCAGCCACCAGAGGCTTCCCTTCACCTTGCGTCCAAGATGTATTTAATGTTCAGGTCCGACTGGTTCTCTTTGCCTGAGTCTACTGCAACCATCCTATCTCCATCCCTCCCCAGACTGGGGCTCCAGGCCCTGCCTGTTCTCTGTGTTTCTAGCCTTGCTCCCCATCCCTCCCTTCCCATCCACTTTGGGTGGAGAAGTCAGTAAGGTGACAGTACATTGTACTGGGGGTCATCTCAACTTGGGACTCAGATAGAATGAACTCCTACCCTGACCCCTCTCCTTTCTAACAATATGACATATTACCTACCTTTCTGAACCTTTCTGTTTTGTCATCTTGAAAATATAATAAGGCTCTCCCTTATGGAATCCCTTTGATTAAATAAAATAACAGTATTTGGTACAGAGTAGGATCTTGATAGTGTTAAGTCTGATCGGTTCTAGTCCTACTCCAGAAGTGGGACTTCCAGTCCAGTCTTAAGAAATGAGAGACAGAGGAAGACAGAATGAATATATATCAACAGAGATTCGCCGAATGCTTAAGAGAAAAAAAAAAAAAGTGTGGGCATCGCTTGATAAGGGTTTAGCTCCCAGCCAAGTCACTCACTAGCTGTAGGACCCCCATGAAACCCAGAAAAGTTACGCAAGCCCCTGCTTCTTCACATGTAAAAGGAGATCATCATTATGCCTGCCTTTGGTCTGCTCACAACACACACATCTTTGCTTAAAGGTCTCCAGTGCCCGGGGTACCTGGGTGGCTCAGTCGGTTGAGCATCTGACCTCAGCTCAGGTCATAATCTCACAGCTCATGGGTTCGAGCCCCACGTCGGGCTCTGTGCTGATCGCTTGGAGCCTGGAGCCCGCTTCGGATTCTGTGTCTCCCTCTCTCGCTGCCCCTAACCCACTCACATTCTGTCTCTGTCTCTCTCAATAAGTAAATAAAACATTAAAAAAAAATTTTTTTAAAAGTCTCCAGTGCCCTCCCATTCCCCTTGGGTGAAGACCACAGTGTTCACAAGGACCTCCAGGACCAGCACAGTCTCATCCGTGGGGACCTCTCCGTTTCGTCTTGTACCACGGTTCCCTCACCTCTCTGATCCCTCCACACTGGCTTCTTTTCTTCCCCAGAAGGACCACACTACTACCTGCCGAGGGATTTTCCTTCCTGCAGGCTGGTCCCCCCGCCACCCCTCCTGTCCACCCTCCATCACCATCACAGGCACCCACATGCATGCATGCCCTCACAGATCTCAGCTGGGATTTCGCTTCCTCAGTACGCCCTTTCCTGATACCCCCAGTCTGGGTGAGATTCCTCTGCTACCTGCTTTCATGACCCCATGTATCTTTCCTTTAAAGCCCTTACCTCAGCTTGTATTTATATATTTCTGGGATTATGTGGTGAACCTCTATCTCCCTTATAAATTCCATGAGAACAAATAATCTGCGGTTGCTAACCTACCCATCCGTGTAGCCTGGTTCCTGAAACATAGGAGATGTTTAATAAATACGTCATGAATGAACGGATGAACTAATGCTGTGCCTGGCACACACAGTTCGTGGGCACATCAAGTACATGATGATATAATGAAACTTATAGAAGAGGAAGCAAGCTAAGCTCAGAGGGCTTAGTCAGGGCCTGTTTCCTGGAGGAGTTGGGTCTCGAACTCGTGATGAATATTATTTGCCAAGAAGAAATTGTAGGAAAGGAGCTCAAAGGTTTAAGATGGTTTGGAAGGAGCCCTGCCGAACCCTTACTGGACATTCACAGTTGAATGGGGGACTAAGCCTCAGAAAGGAGAAGCTGGGATGCCACCCCCCTATTCTTAGGGCAGTGAGTACTCCTCTTAGAAATACCATGGTCCCGTCATGGGTCTCCAAATGCTGTCGGAAGGCAGAGGCTTCGCACAGTCTGCTTTGCTACCGTTTCAGTGCAACATCAGCTTCCCTCGTAAATGTGTCCACCATTACCTCCCCAAATGGCTGGAGTTCTCTCGATAACACTCTACCTGTCCATCAGGTGCAGAGCGCAGGGCAGAAAAGAGCAATGACTGGGAGTCACATAGACCTGGTTCCTCCTTCCAGCTCTGACCCTTCCTAGCTGCATCTCCTTGAGCCAGCTACTCAATCTCTCAGGGTCTCCGTTTTCTT